CGGCTAAAGCAATACCCTATAAGAGGTCAAGAAGCCGTTTTTAGCCATCTGACATAAAACAGTGCTGACGTGTGTATTGGGATCGCGAACTCACAAAGGCGCTCTAGCATTCCCGTGACATACGTGCTTTCCCGACTCCGCTATATTCGTAAGGCTTGTGCCTTCGAGGGGACCCATCAGGGCTGCGCTCACACTTTGCCAGTCGGCGTTTTGAGCGAATCATCGCTTCGAATGAACGAAACCTCTATGTACTATACTTTTCGCTCCCAGCGTCGATTTGCTTGAAATGTTGATTCTCTCAAATGCCGTGCCGCAAAGTGTGAACGCATTCTCACAACTGTATACATAATAGTACCATGCAAGCTTTATGAAAGTCATGTTTATTGTTCGTGTTAGCATTTCTTGCCATTTTTCGTTGTATGGAACTTCTAATTCTTCTTCTTCTTTGCCTTCTTTGGTGACGGCTTCGCTCCCGGTGGTGGCGGCTTATCCACGTGAGCGACTCTCTCGGCAGCTACCCAAAACTGTTTGTCATCAAGAGTTCGTAATCCAATCGGGCCAAATTCGCAGTCACCGCAGAGCAGAGTCTGTAACGAGCAGCTTTCGAAGGGTATCCATGAGGTTGTAATTTTTTCTCTGCATTGAATGATTCTTTACCTTTTTATTGTCGATCACAACCCAAGCAAAACCAACGGTATCAAAATCCATATCGCTTGCTGTATACCACCACAACGATATTTCCTCGGTTTCTGTGCAACCTTTACCACCTATACTCATCAGGGGAAGTCTGGCTGTATAATCTGAAAATGGGAGGTCAGCAAGGTAGCTGCATATGTAAGGTTTGGGTCTCCTGAATGTGCTTGGAAATGGCTCTCAAGAGCTGCCAAAAGAGCTATGAAAACTGCTGTTTTAGTCAGAATTGGAAAATAACAGGACCTCGTCCTTAGAAACATATTCCGCGATAATACCTGGGCGGGACTTCATAACCATTGCGCTTCCCTCTTTGGCATCGCCCGGGTACTGATACGGTAAAGGAAGGGGAGTACACCAAAAGAGGCAGGACTGTTACGAGACTCCGGTTGTCGCGGATTACTAAACCACATTATGTCAGCTCTCCTGCGTCTGCTAGCGGTCGATTTCGTGCACGAAATGTGATGGAAAGTTACTTTAAAGGCACATTCCGCGATAAAATAAGGCTATGACCTCTCAAATGTGTCGGACGATCCGGAAGGCGATTTTTGAGGCTGCGCTACTTTCAAAATGTGAAAAACGGCAAGAACTCCGCTAGAAGCTGACTAATTAGGCCCATGGACACCCCTTAGGCCCATGCCGACCCTCACCGGCTGCTAGCTACTAGCTAGTAGCCACTATGTTATCTTTCTCTATAACATTTCGGACTGCTTTTTTCTACTGCTTTTCTCCGCTAATCATATACTTAAGCACTTTTTTGTGCCTATTTTTGAGTTCGTTTCCCGCAATGTTGCGGGGCTCGCGAACCGTGCGTTTAAAGCGTACTTATGGACACTATCTGTGAGAGAACGCTGGCGAGCAGGTGACGTAGGCCGGAGATGTGCTTTCCTAAGTGGTTCCAGAAAACTCACTATCCACGAGTTTAACCTTGTCTTCGGGAAAAATCAGCGAATCACATTTTCGACAAACCACTGACTTCCAGTTCTTATCGTCCTCGTTCAGAAGATCCTCGCGGTCAACCTGAACTTCCCCGATTCGGGATAAATCGGAGTCAAGGCAAACTCACCGGCTCGTTCTTGTTTCCAACTTCCTTCAGAACTAATTTGTCGGGGAACAGTTTCGATGCATCGATTGTCTGGAAGAAGAGCTTGAGAGGAAGAATTGTGTTCTGGGAAAGAAGTTGGTCAAGGGGTTGGCGAAGCGATTTGGGCGGGTTATAGCTCCCTCAGTGGGTGATGTTTCATGCCTCGCATCGTCCTCTCAGCAATTTTTGCTTCTGGAAAAACTTCATACAATTACTTACCCCCATTCCTTTGAGTAGAAACTTAATATGACTGAATCCCACCGAGCAATGCTTATAAACAAGCTCAAGTGAGGGATAATAAACAGCAGGGAGGTAGCATTCGAGATAATCGGTGATAAGCCGCACCGTACGCATTGAGTAAGGGGTCACCCGAACCCCCTCCCCCTTCAGTGGTGCTGGATGTGGTTTATGAGATTGAGTAGGGGCGGCTAGTAGAACCTTTCTCGACCCACGCGCACGCCGCACTAGCCAGTCAGCCCGTTTACTGTGGCGCTTTCCCGTCATATCAACCAGGACCTGGTGCTTATGCCGCGCGCGTGACGCTTTTCTAACGCAGCTCTCACCGCACCGCCGCGAATCGGATCTCTTGCCGTCATCCCTCCAATGTAGAGTCAAGTACAGTCCTGTTCGCTGTTGATGCTGGGGTCCTGATGTCAGGGAGGACGGATTTGCTGTGACGTCGACCCATTTTCCACTAAGTGTTGTCACTTGCCCGTTTCTTCAAGTGCTGGAGAACCGACCGACAGACCTAGCCCGGCGCTGTTTGGCGACGGGAGGGGCATTTTGCACTATTGCGTCCTTAGTTCTAGTTTACAAGTCTCGCTCTGGCGAAACCTGTGAACTCTTGTGAAGCTGGAGCAAGGTCATGAAGCCATCATGTTAAGAACCTGTCAGAGGAGGCCATCTCGATAGGTCGACACGTCGATGGGAAGTGGGATGCAGCAGAAGTGCAAAATGCCCCCCTCCTAGCCATACGGCGCCACCAGCCCTTTCCTGACCATACTCAGCATTCAGCCCTTTCCTGACACGCCTCAGCATTCGCAGCGAACAACATGTTAATGCCGATCTAGACTGGGGTGCCGCCCTTCTTTTGGCCGGGTGGCTACCGTGAGAAGCTTTCTCTAGAATACCATAGGAAGCATAGCTTTTTGTTAAGCTTGCAGCACTGTACTGGACTAGTGGTCCATTTACTCTCGCAGTGTGCGAGCCAAAAATGGGCGGGATAATCTGGGGCGTGCCGGGCGTGTAGACGCAATGCGTGTAAAATGTGAAAATAAAAACACTATTGGAAGAAACTTATCACGATTGAAATTCGAAATTTAGAGTGCAGGCTAGGATGCCGGGGGCGGGACCTGATGTCTCCGAGCTGACGTGAACTTTGAGCGCGTCGCGTTGTTTTGCCAATATTTTGGTCTGCAGTGTGGCCACAAATTATTATATACCGTATAGATTTATTTTCATCAATCAATAAAACTGTTATCACACTCAATGCAGTATTTACAAACGTAACAACGTGACACCCGTAATTGAACTCTATAGTAGACGATACCAAATGACCAAAATGACAAACTGAAATAGATGGGGCAGACTCTGGCTGGCGCGATGGCACCCGGATGGTTGAGGTGAGGCAAAGTGGGAATAATTGGCTCGGTTCCAATCATTACATAATCCTATACAATGGAAAGGAATGAAACATGTAGCTATAAGGCTCTTAAAAAGACTAAATGCTACTTATAAGACAAAGTAAAGTATAGTCAGGAGGAGGGGTACGGTAAGGGAGGTGGAGGTGGAAGATTCCAGTGGCAGCTCGATAATTTCCCCACCAGGGAATCGTTCAATGACATTCTCATCGATCAGTCGAGCGCGGGTGACAAAGTTCGTCAAGAGTGCTTGGCCAAGTCCTCGATTCGTTATAGGCTGTACTTGAAGAGTATACATCGTCGATGGGACGAGGTTCTCGTATTGAATCTGAAACATGAGCGCTCATTTTATCGATTAATCGGCTAATCAATAACCTAGAAACATCTCCCATTGGATGATTCCCATAGCTAAAGCTTACCTCTCGAATTTGAGGCGGCAAAATGGTGATATTCGTGTCGTCTCTCATCGGTGACGTCAAGGCAGTTCGGTATCCGATTACGGTATCAGCGTTTGGTCCGCGATCACGGACCCATTGACAGGATACGATGGTATGGACGATGCAGAAGATGGGTGTGGAATGTGAAAGACAGGGAACGGTACCACTCGAAGGCGTCGAATCACACGATTTCGTTGAGAAACTGCTAGAGAGTGTTGTCTGTAAATGTATTCATTAAGGTTCGCTGGAGAATTTCAAATCGGTAAAAACACAGTAGTTTGGAATGGGGGCT